CTTTCGAGTCAATACTGTCACGCGAGACACTAAACTGCAAGGAGATACATCTATTTGAAGCTGCGCTCAATTGGGCAATCAATGCATGTGAGAAGATGAGCATCGACGAAACGTCGCCAAACAAGCGCCGAGTTCTGGGCCAGGCGTTGCATCTGATACGCATACCGACCATGACCCTGGAGGAGTTTGCTAATGGTGTAGCCCAAACGGGCATACTCACATCCCAGGAGACAATTGACATGTTCTTGCATTTCACAGCCAAAATCAAGCCCACTCTCAGCTTTCCCACGCGACCGCGTGCAGGTCTCAAAACCCAAGTTTGCCATCGCTTCCAATCGTGCGCCTATCGGTCAAATCAGTGGCGCTACCGAGGCCGCTGTGATTCCATACAGTTCTCAGTAGATCGCAGGTGAGTAAAACAAACAGAAATATATATACGATCATCAATTGAAATACTTTTGCATCCCCTTAGAATTTTCATTGTGGGCTTTGGCCTCTACGGTTCTTCGACGGGAGCGGCCAACTACAATGTTAAGATTGAACTGAAGCGATTGGGGCGTACGCTGGCAGAGAACGATACAAAGTTCTTTTCAGATGGGTCAAGCAACACTTTCCATGTGTTCTTCGAAAATCCCATACAGATCGAACCAGAGTGCTATTACACAGCGTCAGTTATACTGGATGGCAATGAGCTAAGCTTTTTTGGCCAAGAGGGCATGTCCGAAGTGCTCATGGGCAATGTCACATTCCAATTCCAATGCTCATCGGAGAGCACCAACGGCACGGGTGTGCAAGGTGGCCAGATCCCCGAACTAATCTTCTACGGACCCACTACAGTAACCGCCCTGAACTCGCCGACTAGCTCAATATGCGCAACGCCCATAGGAGCAACACCGAATGTCACAAATGGCAGCAATGGGGCAGCCGCAAGCAATTCGAGCAATAATGTTAATAATGCTACCGAGGAGCTGCCTCTTGGCAGCACAGCCGCCAGCAGCGATGGCAGCAACACCTGATGCGCGCAGTTATACTGCGCGGAGTGGCAGGGCGCATGCTATTATCGCCAGCAACCGCAGCAGCAGCAACAACAGAAAAGACCAACACAGACGCAACAACAAGAACATACACAAAATCGAAACTCATGGGTTTTCAGTGCAACACAACAAAGCAAATTGGAGTTTTAAGGATATCGATATTAGTATGATATATAAGAATGATATATATCAATATGATATATATATATACATATAGTTATTATATATACACACACACACCTATACGATCACATGTAGAGCGCTCTAGTTTTGGTAGTACATAGATATATATATATATATATATACAAACATATAGTCTGTTGGTAAATGCATACAAACAAAATATTTTAAATTCAAAAGCGTAAACCCGCAGAAGTTAACCATATACACGCATACATACACTTATACTAAATACGTTCCAAAAACCTGAGACGTTGTGAAAGCCAGCATGTAAGGTAATCAGAGGCATTCTCAATAAGCAAGTAAACAACGGGCAATCAGTCAAGCTAATGATAACTAAATATATTCTAAACAAAATTGAATGCAAAACACGACATACAAACATATTTTTTGCCAGCATATACTAAACATATAAATAAATATTGATATATACTATATACACTTGAAAGAGTATTACGCCATGTTGAAGTATGCGTACGAATTTGAAAGCCAAGTTAAACATTTAATAATGTACACACTTAATTAGGATTTGCCAAACTCTCAAATAAGAAAGACAATGATATTATGCGCAAAAATTATCTTTATGTATATCTTGTAGTGTGAATTTGTAGTTGCATTAGTTGCACAATATGACGCATCTCTTCAAGCCAGACGCACTCATTTTATACTTGATTACGAAACTTTCATATAACATTCATATTAACCCATACTAAAGCCTTTCCTATGATATAAAACCAACCAATTTTGCATCAAATCTGCCCAGGCTGCTCTACGCAACAATGATATTTCTGTTCAAGTTTTTGATTTCTTTTGGAAATTGTACTGATTTTTGCTTTTCAAATAGAATCGATCGTTTTTATACATATAATTTAAGACGAATGTTATCCTATATTGAATATGAAATCTTTGAATTGTGTATTATGATTATTAACCAATAAAATACATTATTAGATTTTTTCGAATTTAAACAGCATTAGATTTGCATGTGACTATGGGAACGACGCTTTGACGTCTTTGGTCTTGATACAATAAAGGAATTTTTCGCAGCTGCTTTTACTCGCTTCTCTCATTTTTCTCTTGGCCGGAGAGTTTAGAGGAGACAAGTTCGTGACTCACTTTCTCGTTTCTCTCACTTACGCATTTCTATCCATACTTCCTAAATTCTAATAACTCAGACCGATATGGATATTCATTGAACATTTTTTAGGAAGTCAGAGTGAAGGGAGTATTTAGTGACTTAACGTAAATACGATTGTGTTTTGGAGATACTAATTTGGGGGCATTACTAATTGAAAGGGATACAGCTACCCGCCCGATGTTAAATTAAGCCAACAAGCACAATTGAAACTCACCCACGGATGGTATATTAATGCACAAGGCATGTGACAGCTTCAAGTAAGTGCGTCCAAGCTCGTATGAGCAAATCTGCTGTACATCACTTATGTCGATAAGAAGATCTGCAAGAACAAGACTCATTAGTTGCCATAGTTGTGCCACAGTCAAGCACTGCCCACTTACGTGACGTGCCCTCGGTGCGGCAGGTCATGTACACGCAAGCAGCATAGATGTGGGTGCTCTTGCGGCCTCGCGTCAGGTGACGATGCAGCGCCATCTTAAAGAAGTTGAGAGCAGTGTCTGCGTAATGCTGCGTCAGCTGCAGCTGCTGGCACAAGAGCGTAATGTCGCGCTTAGCCTTCTTGATTGTTACCTCGCGAGACTCTGTGCCGGAGCCAACTTGGAATTTGCCATATCCATAATTTGTGGCTCCGCCCGAGGACTCGGCGGAAACAAACTGTCCAATGGCGGCGGCGCCGTGGCCCATTTCTTCGAACTGCACCTCGGAAACAATGAGCGAATCCTCCAGCACAGAGCCGCAGTTCATGCAGACTGAAACCAGCGTCAAGGATTATTAAGAGGTAGCAAATATTTTATCGAATATACTTACCGCGATCGCCGCGTGCATTATCCTCCTCGATCTCATTAGATCCGCAGTTGCGACACTTTAATCCCGTTGACATGATGTTTATTCAGCTACTCGTTAATAAGGAAATATCTAGAGAGTCCTAAATGGGAGCACAAAATAGCAACTCAAGTAGGCATAAGGAGCGTCTTTCACGACATTTTAATTATACATATATACACAAATTTTATTTAAATTATAAATAACGCCGCACGCGTTTTTGCAAAAGCGCAAAATACCAATAAACAGCTGTTATTTCTAGTACGCTGTTAACAAATAAAGCCCGATACGCAAAATCTTTTAAGCAATGCAACAATACAATTTTATTTACAACGAAAAATAAAGCATTTGAAAATACAAAACCTTGTCTCCATATTTAATACCGTATCATTTATCAATGATGTGTACATTTTTTACATCATTACAATATATTAAAAAAAAAACAGTATTGACTAAATACGTAAAGGAGACTGTCAGCACAACTCTTGTGAGTCGCATATCCAGCGCAACAAAGACTTACAACACTGCGCTGTCGATTTCGTGCACATTACCAGCACTGGATAATATTCAGCGAAAAAGCAACTGGGAAATCGACGAGCAGGCCAGGCGGTATTTAGAATTTGTTAAATTTGTATATCAAACGAGAAAAAGAAAAGCATTCTTATGAGTATGGCTGACGGCGATAGTGCAATCCCTATAAGTGGAGAGGCTAAGCCAACAGCCGGCATGCAGATAATACCTGGAGAGCTGGTGGCTTCAATTGAGGAAATCGTTATGATTGATCCCGAATGCTATGAACTGGATCTGAATCATCGCCGCATAGATAAGCTGGAGAATTTCGAGCCACTTAAACAGATCGAACGTTTGTATCTGCGATGGAATCTGATCAAGAAGATTGAGAACCTGGATATGCTGAAAACCCTTTTGGAGCTGGAACTGTACGATAATCAGATCACAAAAATTGAGAATCTGGACAAGCTTGTTAACCTGGAAATACTGGATCTCAGCTTCAATCGGCTAACCAAAATTGAGAACTTAGACAAGCTGCTCAAGCTTGAGAAGCTCTATTTTGTGGCAAACAAACTCACCGTAATCGAGAACGTCGGCATGCTGACTAATCTGACCATGCTGGAGCTTGGTGACAACAAGCTTAAGAAAATAGAGAACATCGAGACATTGGTGAATTTACGACAGCTGTTTCTGGGCAAGAACAAAATAGCTAAAATTGAAAATCTCGATACGCTAGTCAATCTGGAGATATTGAGTCTGCAGGCCAATCGTATAGTTAAGATTGAAAACTTGGAGAAACTGACCAATTTGAAGGAGCTATACATATCCGAAAACGGCATAGAAACCATAGAGAATCTGTCGGAGAACAAAAACCTGGACACACTAGATCTAGCTAAGAACAGGTTGAAGCTAATTGGCAACTTGGAGGCCCTCGAGCAGCTGGAGGAGATCTGGCTGAATGACAATGGCATCGACAACTGGAAGAACCTTGAAGTGCTCAAGATGAACAAGTCGTTGCAGACCATCTATTTGGAACACAATCCAGTGGCGACAGATATACGCTATCGTTCCAAATTGCGCGATATCTTACCCCACTTGCAGAAAATTGATGCCACCCTGTGCGTGCTGCCGGGCGCACACGCGTAACGTTCTGGTTAATCTTATATCGAATTCATTAATTACATTAATATGAAACGAACTAAAAGTTTTAAAATATATATTCCAAATTTGAGTTGTTTGTTTATGTTTTCTTCGAGCGGGAGCTTACTCGATCCTTTGTCATTGGCCAGGCAATTCAATTTTAAAAAAGAATCAGATAGCTTTTGACTCCTGCTTGCACATTTTTTTGAAATTACAATTTATTTTATGTACATTGCAAGCTGTCTGAACATTCAAATAAACGGATGCGAATCCTATTAAACGATTGCTTAAATTAAATCTTTATTTTTGCTTAAGTCGCATTTTTCCTGATATCTGTTGCTTTCACCAATTTCTCATTATTCCGTAGAACCATATCAAATATTGTCAGTACAATATATGAATCGCCAGTTCAATGGGACAATTCTCTTATCAATGCACATTATTCTTTCTCGGATGGTAAACAAAGGACTGGCGCGTCAAGTTGTAGTGGTAAAACGTAGATACTACGTTAATCAGTGCTTAAATCTTAATAGCGTAATAGTCCGAGGCGTTGACCTGGTGCGGCCCACCATAGAAGTCCAGCACAAATATGTTCCTTATGTTCAGTTCGCACAGATAGAAATGATGCTCTACAAAACACATGCACGCTAAAGAATAAGAGTAACAAGCATAATTTAAATTCTGCTTACCAATTATCCACTTGGCCGCCGCTGGATGACGATTAATAAAAATGTTCATTGCGGGATTATAGCTTGGTGCATCGTCTGGGAGCTGTTAAAGCCATGACTATATTATTGTTATAAGACGGAATTGATCGATCTCAACAGACCTTTTTCACTTGACCGCTGATGATGACACGCGCACAGGTTGGCTCCATGGGATCCTTGTTGGCATTCTTGCAGTTCAGCGTTTGCTCATCCGTAAACATGAAAGTCACCTTGTTATTGTTTTGCCAGTCTGGGCCCGTAAAGTCCAAATCGGTTAGCAAAAATCGTATTACGCCCGTGGAGTTGCCATCAAGACCATTGTCATCGATCGATATAATATTAACCATGGGATAGTCTTTCACAGCTTGGTTAGTTGAAATGCTGCCCACAGACGCCCAATTGGCACGGTGCACCAGTTGGCGCGCGATCTTGGCATGATTTAGTTCCAGCTGCCGCTTATATTCAGCAATAATCCGAGCATCCTCAAGAGCCGAGTAGGCCTGCGCATGGCTAAGGAATACACAGGCAACCAGTAAAAGCAGCAGCTGCTGACACCCAATATGCATTGTGTTGCGGCGACTGAGAAAGATCAGCTTATATGCTCAACGGTTCTCTCTGAAATGCGCACTGTGAAGCGTTAAGTGGAACTGCGACACTTTTAAAGGCATTTATTCACATGGCCTTATCTGGGGGAATCAAATGCATTTTCCTATATACAATACATGTGTAAGACTCGAATAAAGCTCATGACTCAATCGGACAAAAAGAACAAAGAGCAGTCTACACAGTCTACAGTCCAGAGCTGATGAATTCCCTCAACTTCTATTTTTCGGGCTACCAATTCTGCACACTTTTAACACAATTTCCACAATTACGTTTCGTATAACTCCACTTTCATGCTTACCTGACTTTATTTATTTATTTAGTTAAGTTAAGTCCCAAAGCTAATGTCGTCTTATTTGAACAGTCGGAGTGCAAGTGCGTTGTTTTGCTTTCGGAGATTATATCGCAATGAACAAGCAGTTGCGATTTTCTTATCGCGTGCTGTGAGAGAGAGAGAGCGAGCGAGAGTCAGAGGGAGAGATAGTGTCCAGCTGTTCTATAAGAAACTATCTCATATACACACACGCATACTCCCACACTTGGGCATGGACAACAGCTGTTAATTTTCTAGTAAAGCTTTTAAGCTCGAGTTCGGTTATGGTTTAACATTGAATTTTAACATTTTGTTTATTTCTCAAATATGTTTTGTATGTTTAGGAATATCTTTACATTTTGACTTTCTCGAATCCATCGCTCTAGTCTAACATATACTCTCGTAACTTGTACTTACATTTCAACTTTTCATTTTTTTAACTTGACAGCATAAGGTGAGATTTCCTCATCTCTATATTTAGTATGTATTATGTGTGTGTGCTTCAGTGTGCGAACATTTTGTTTAACATTTATTTCTATTTTGTTACGTTTCCGTATATTTTGTTTGTTTCTTTGTTTTGTACCGTTTGCATTTTACGTTTTTCGTACTTTGTTTACTATTTTTGTTAAGAATTTTGTAATTAGATTACAATTGTATGCATACAATATCTCATGGATTCTTGAAATAAGACATAGTGTATGTATAGAATTCAAGTGTTTTTAAAAAATATTTGTGTATATATGTATGTATATGTAAAATATGTATGTAAAAGTATAGCTATAGATCGCACTATGATTTATGCATGTAGTTAAAGTTAGCTTCGTTGATTCAGTTGTATTTTGTTTTAAAAGTGATTTAAAGCCCATTTGCGTTGCAACAGAGAACAGCTCAATATACATATGTATGTATGTGTTTGTTCTTTACAAAAAAATAAAAAAAAAAAAAAACTCGTAGTCTCTCTCTTACAAAAATAAATAGTGCAGTGTTTAAAAGACAGAATCGATTTTGAGCTGTTTAGACATTACTACTCATTATTCATTATTCATTACTCATTATTCATTGAGTGCAACTGCGGCACCCACATATGTATGTATGTAGTACAACACTGATAATTATTTGTATGTATAGTACGGTATGCATGTGTAGAACCAGAGTTTTTCTGGTTCAATTGTTATCTCTAGATACTTATGTATTTTGCTTATCAAATAACTGGCATTACACTACTCGTAGGTATTGTGTTTTCAATGCTTGCCATACAAAAATGTATGCGATTTTGGTAACCAAATGCATGAGATATATAACAATTATAATTATAGACGCGCACACATATTGACTTTACGTTAACTCGATTTTTGTTTTATTTTATTTTTTTTTTTTTTGGTTTTTTTCCTTTAACTTTTTCCAAATGTTTAACATACATATAATGCATGTGCTAAGTATATGTTTATTACATTTATATATACCTATGGTGCGCTACAAGCAAATCCAATTTGTTGGTTTAATACACAAATATGTTCTTATAGATAGAGGTGCATTATATCCACATAGTACTTGCTTGAAGCGCTCAAAAAACTTGCAATTTGAACTTGCGTCGTTACTGTCGTCAACATTAATCAAATTATTTGTAATACTTTTGTTTTTATGTTCTTATAAGCATACGAAGTACTCTACTAATTATATTTATTTGTGTATATGCGTGTATATATTTTTAGTTTAAATTTGTTTTTTAATTTTTTTCAAACAATTCCTTGGCGCTTGCGTATTTTTTGTGGTTTTGAACATTCGATTTAGCTTTCCTTTATGACAATTAGTTTGTTAATGTCTTTAAACGAGTATCAAACAAAAAAAGTCTAAAGCTTTAATATAATTAAATTTAGTTTCGTTTAGTGAGTGTTTTTGTTTCTTTGTTTGTTTTCTTCTCTTTGTTTTTTTTTTTTTTTATGACTAGCTTGGAAGCATTAAACTAAAACCAAAAAGTTGAGGACCAAATCAGATGTCGCTAAGCAGCTTCAAAGTGAACAACTTAAGAGTTAAACCATAAGGTAAAAGCAAATCGGGGCAGTTTTACAATACGCGGGACGTTGGTATAACAATTTAAAGCTATCATTTGCCAGGCAACGCACTCCAGTCGGGTTTCGGGGAGAGGTTACACCCACAGGCATGGCCAGGGTCCGGGCTAGGTAGCGATTCTTAGCTGAGCTCGCACCGTTAGCGCCGATCGCTGGACTGTTTACCCTGCGTCTGTTGCTCCGTCTGCAGCTCGTACTGATAGTAGCAGTCGCTGCCCACATAGACGGTGCGCCAGACGCCATCCACATCTCACATTTGCCGATAAGGCGAGTGCATCTTAAGCCACTGCAGCACGAGCGATGGGCCGCCGGCTTGTATCTCGGGCGGAATAGTGCCAAGTGGGCATTTGTCAATGTTCAAATATTTCAAATTTTGGCACAGTGCCAATTCAAAGGGCAACTTCTCCAAGCCTGGATTTTGATTGATATAGAGGTTCTCCAGGCTTTCCAGCGAGCCAATCTCTTCGGGCAAAAACTGCAGATTGTTCTCGCTTACAGAAAGATGTGTGAGGTTGCTCAAATGGCCAATGCTACGCGGAAGCATGGTTATCTGATTGGTCTGTAGTATTAATCGCTGCAGCTCGTGCAGCAGGCCAATCTCATGAGGTAGCACCTCGATGCGGTTTTCCTCCAGGTCCAGGATACGTAACTTGCGTAAATTACCAATCGTATTTGGTATCTTCTTGAGCATGTTGTTGGACAGTATGAGTATTTCCAAATTCTGCAAATTCATGATGTCATCGGGCAGCTTCTGCAATGCATTGGTGGCCAAGTTCAGCTCCACCATGTTAACCCAGGTGCCAACATCGAGCGGCAACGCGGTCAGCATGTTCTCCTTCATATTCAGCTTTGTTAGACCCTTGGCTCGCGAGAATATACCATATGGTATCTTGTCTATACGATTATGCTCCAGATTGATGCTATAGACATTGGTGAACTGCGCGGGCCCACCAGTTGGATAGCTGGTAAACTGATTTCGTGACAACGTTATGGTGGTCAGCGCGCTTAAGCTAGCCAGCATGCCATCCGGCAGCTGTGTGATGCCGTTGCCCTCGACATTAAACTCATCCATGCTTTTGCAGTTCTTCAATGAGATGGGCACGCTGTTCAGCCGATTGTAGCGCAAGCCCAGACGCACCAACGACTTCAGATTACCAATGCTATCCGGTATGTCCAGCAGCTCGTTGTGCTGCAAATCGAGTGCACTTAGATTCACACAGTTACCAATGTCGTCCGGCAAGTGCTCCAAATGATTATGGGATACATCCAGCGTGGTCAAATTCACCAAAGCACCAATCGCACTGCCCAGCTCCTTGATTTTGTTCTCGCGCAGACTCAACATGGTGAGATTGACCAGCTGGCGCAGATCATCGGCCACAGCCGTGATTCTATTGAAGCGGAGATACAGCGTCGTCAATGAGCGCAGTCGATAAATGACTGACGGGATTTCTGCCAGCTTGTTGTGTCGTAAATCCAACACCTTAAGCTGTGTGCAATGCTTCAACGACTCTGGCAGCGACGTTAAGGAGTTCTCATTCAATGCCAGATTTCGCAAATTCACCAGGCAACCAATCTCCGTGGGCAGCTGCCCAATTTTGTTGCTGTACAGGTAGAGTTCGGTGAGATGGACGCACTCCCTAACCGTATTGGGTAGAACAGTGATAGAGGATTTGCTCAAGTCCAAGCGCTTGATGCCTAACAGAAAGTAAATCCAGTAGTAAATATCATTGGTTGATTATTTGGTCCGATTCCACTTACCTTCGTCGCGGCAACGCTGCAATGCCTTGATGACATCCTGATCCGCCTGGATGTTTTTCACAATCTTTTTTGTGGTGGGCTTGGGTTTATTCGATTCCGGATGCTTAACCGTCACCATTTTGGGACGTGTCTCGGGCGGCATGATTGCGTTGATTTCGTTGTGTGTCAGATTGGGACCGTTGCTGTTTGTAGGATTCCCGCCACCACCGTTGACTGTGCTTCTGTTACTTTGATTAAGAGCTGTATCTGCCCGGCCGCTTCCGCCGCTGTTGCCACCGCCGCCGACGACGCCAAAGCAATGTATGGCCTCGGAGGGACCGCTGCTGTTACTCTCTACGTGCCCTGAGGACGATAGTGATGAGGTTGATGCGGTTGCACCAGCCGAGGAGCACAAGTTCATAATTTTGCCCAGTCTTGCGGTCGCCGGCGACAATATGTTGCCCAGAAGTGTGCCAAAACGACAACAACAACAGCTCCAACCGCAGCCAGTGGAACTCGTTGCTTTTCCCTGCAACGTTCAGATAAAGACAATAAGAAACAGGCTAGGTTGGACGAGGAGTGTACGCTGCTTATTGCAGCCGTTTATCAATTGTGCGTCAGACCGTAATACATGCGAATACTTGGCCAGACACACACACACACACACACGGAGAGAGAGACAGACAGCCGTGCGTCATCGTCAATGGCTTAGCCTCCCGACCCACACCCACGCGCAATTTATTACTTTTGCTTTTGTTTCTCAGTCCTTATTAGCATGCGCTTCAACAAGTTGCCCATAAACTTTGCTGAAACTCTACGCGCGAATCAATAATCAACCCTACAGTCACATCAAAAACAATGTGTTCACCTCGGCCTGTCTAGGCGGTAATGGATCGCGTTGTAATTGAGATTATAAAAGGTATAGTCCAATCGGGAACAACAATGCAATAGTCGCTCGCAATTGGAATGCTCCGGCTCCAGGTGTTATTTTAATTTAGAAAAATTCTTATACTTAGATGGTTGATTATCTTCGTATACTACAAATTTAAAGTCAATAAATACACTGCCCTCCCTAGTGTAGTTTTTACCTAGGGGTCCAGCTTGTGTTCTGCTAAGGGAGGTGCTCGCCTAAAGCCAGACATTCCCTAACTTAATAGACTATCTTTAAACACTCTTCATTTTTGCCTAAAAGGATTATTATTATTTGAAAAAGTTTGAAAGTAAAAATGAGTCAAGTCAAGACAAGGATATTTTTACTAAATGTTATCAAATATGAAAAGTGCTTCATATTTCATTAAATGATGCAGATAACATGTTCTTGAAATTAGTGAAGTGCATTTATGAGCCCAACCTCTATCCATCCATTATATGTGCATTTGCCACAAACTTCAGCTGTGGGGGACAGCGACATCAAAGCACGTGAACGACCGCACCCAACCGGCCCACTCCCACACCCACTCAGTACAAATGCTGCTCCTGGCCATGTGGCCAAGTGTCAAGGTCAGAGGAGCTGACAATTCCTGCAAGTCCAATGCCAAAGGTGAAGAGCGCACTCAGCAGCAGCAACAACAAGTACGACAGCAGGACAAACCTCAAATTACCGTTATATGGCATTACGCATGACCACGCACACACACATATTCACACACACACACACACGCAAAGAGGGACCGCACAGCGTAGTGCATTATTCAACCTATCAAATTTCCAGTAAATCATAACCCTGTCTTTATGTATGTATGTGCATGCACATATGTATATGTGTGCATGCATTCATGTGAGCAGGTCGGGATATAGTAACTGGCAAGTGCTCTGGAATTTTTCGCAAATTATATGTGATAACGAGCAACAGAAAACAGAGGTATAACTACATAAGTGCCATAACAAAAGTCTGGCCAAGGCTTTGAGTCTGATTCATGACAAATTGCCATTGCTTCTTCAATCTTCTTTGATAATTATGGGGCATTGTGCGCCATTCCTTCTTTATATTCAGCAGCCTCATCTGCTTATTGTTGTTGTTGTTGTTGTCATATCGTCGCATAAATTTCGCTACGCTGCGCTGCGCTGTTGTTGTGGGTGGCGGAAACGAAACGAAGCAACTGCACAGCAGAGATGCGTTATGTGTGATTTGTGCCGCAACAGTTCTGCGAATACACAAATATCTTAACATGCGCTAGAGGCATAAAAGACCTGATAGCAAGTCCATGGCAACAAGTTAGCGTTTAGTTCTTATCTTGCGATAGCATATCTACCTTCGGTGTTATCGGGGATATCTGTTTTTTTTTTTTTTCAAACAAATTTAACCAGCCTTCTATTGGGTTCGAGAAGTCACAGTTTAATCAAAATAACAAAAATTGCTCATCTCCGACAAGTAGTCCCCATACAAATCATACACACACAAACACACACGCACAAAAACACAGGCCACCCGCAACATTAGCACTTACAGTTTCTAGTAAGAAGCCATTAATTATATTTTTAATTTGTTTTGTTTGTCTTTTACTTGTTTTTTTTTATTTTTTGTATATTTTGTTCACAACAAGCACAAATCTTAATTGCGGCAGCGACCAAAGAACAACGCGAGTGAGCAACGAATGTTTTTTACATCTATGGCCACCCTAAGGCTGCAACATTCGCTAAAATGTTATTAACAGCGCACAGACCGTTGATTCTGGCTAAATTTCCGTTACATGTAGTTCAGTTCTTCACATAAAAAATGTAGCTATCGTAATTTAGAGAATTAATGGGAAATTTATGAAAAATTACGTATAAGGTTCAAGACTGAATAAAACAGCTACTTCCAGCAATACATGATAAAAAGTGCCTTAACATAGTTATAACAGAACAGCTGTTGCTTAACACTATCGATTATTTTTTTTTGCACAATTCAAAATTGAGGCAACGACCAAAATTCGTTTCGATAAGACGTAAACGCAAATAAAATTTAGAAGGCTTATCAATATGCGTCTAATATTTCACGAACCATAGATGGCGCCACGCACAGGTCGAAGTGCCAAATTCAAAGCGAGTCCACTAATTTAATAGTTATCGATGCGTAGCACATTTAATTGTATTCTTTAATACAGAGATTAATATTATATACTCAATTTAAAACACTGTAGTAAACCACACAGATATTCTTATTTATAAAATACACGATATGAAACGATTGCATTTTGTCGCTTCAATGTGAAAATAATGTGAAATGCGCAGTTTCAATAACGACACACACTTTGTGGGAGGCAAGCCACACTGCACTCTCCCAATTGGCGGCATTTAATCTTTCGTGGTCGAGGTCTAGGTCATTGAAGTGTGGCTATTGTTATTCAGTGGCAGGGTCGCACTGCCACATTTACATACGCATTAGACACACACACGCATGCCCATACATTGTATGTTTGCACATATTCGCATGCAATCATATGTGTATTGGTGCACACTCGTGCATACGTACGTATATAAATTCTCGAGAATTTTCCTATAAACTCCATCAATACTTGCTTATAATGTATGTAACTATATAATCGTGTGTACACACACACACACACACACGCATATATATATATATATAATGCAGCGACGGGGCTGAAATGTATGCTTCAAATTGATGTGGCCCGCAGCTATCCATACACACACACGCGCACACCTACACACACCCACACACACTCAGACACACACACACACACCTACACGCACACACAACAATAGACGGACATTAGATTGTTATACATAAATTATGCGCAATTTGCTGGATTCCGTACTTGCGACTGAATGCCGGAAGCAGGTTGAATGTCAAATCAATTAGCAATTAGGGATAACTAACCTGTTATTAGATCGCCACGCGACTAGCTGGAAAATCTTAGCAGCCTTCACCGTGTGTATGTGCTGTACTGTGTTGCAGGTTCCTTTGCTGCCGCCTGCCCGAACCCAGTTTTTCTTGTCGTTGTCGTTGTCTGCGATTTGTATAATGTACACTTTTTCTTTTTCTTTTTTTTGTTTTTTGTGTTTGTTCTTACACTACAATGCTCATGTTAGGATTGGAGGATATTTTATTAAATAAGAGCGATTCACGTATTTGTATAAATTTGGAGCACGAAAAAAGAGTAGCGCACAATTGAAATATGTATTTTAAAACAGGGCAAAAATTGCGTTTAAAATTGAATTATCGCTTATTTAGTTGTGGCGTGACGATACAACAGTTTAGCCAGAGAGAGAGTTACACATAAAAACAGCAGCAACAGCAGTGACAGCATATATCTATATGTATATCCTGGCGACTTGTGTGCCCCACAAACACCAAGCGAAATTTAATGCGATGCATGCGCATGCGCATGGGCTGTGGCGCCATCTAGCGTCTGTTTCTAATGCTGTTGCTGCCCTTTCACCGCTAGAGTTCCAACTTTTGGAGCTCTTCATTGCTGATAAACTCACAGGCTCTTTGAGATATGATGCGATAATCTGGAAAAGAAAAACTATACAGTTTTTGAGCGTTAAATAGTTACTGCAAGATCCACTTACCCTTCTGGTACTTGCAGTTGTATATACGCATCACACAGCTGCTGGCAAATGTTCGCAGGCAGCCGTCGTGCAGAGCACAAACCACACGATATCTGGTGGGGCAAACATCTTGACACTTATTAGGCACTGTTGAGGCACGCGGAATATAAAACATTTATTTGAATTATATATTCGAAGCACTTGACGCACCTTGCAAAGTGAACAGTTGTCCATAGATAATACCAATTGGAGCTAGCAAGAGAATTACAAACAGCTTACTCTTAAAAGCTAGTCCAGTTTTCATTGTGCTTGCTTCTTGTCTGCAATTTCTGTAATAAAGCTATAATTTAATAACAATTCGAAGATGCTTCTAGTGAATGTATTTTTTTTATTTTTATATTGCTGTGTTTATTTGTTTTCAAAAATTGTGTCAATATTAATACAATTTATAAAAATACTCAAAACTGGCAACAGTTGTGAGGGTCAACTGCGTTTAGTCTGGATGCATTTCAACGTATGTGTGACACATTTTTGTATTTAATTTGATATTTTCAGTTCCGGTGCTTCAATTTAAACTAGCATATCTATACCTGACATTCACCCTCAGTTGGCTCGCCGATATAAGCTGCAAATATAAAGTCATGTGTTATATAGCTTGTATAGTATCTTTGTATATGTGCTCACCCATTTCCTGCTGGCAGGCAAATCGATTCAAGAGACAGCTGTTGAGGAAAGATCTTGTCTTCCATCCGGTGGTGCCATCTGCATTAGTATATGCGAATGAGGCACAAAGTCCACTGCCGCCCAACGGGCAGATATCACTGCAATACTTCATGCACTTCTCACGTGTTGTCTGTTCCATCTCTAGATGTATATATAGAATGTCAAACATTTATATCTAAGTAAAAGTTCAGAGTCTACCAACTTGTCTTGCAACTGTTCACGCGATTACAGTTTTCCGAGCTGAACAGGCAACCGTTTTGAAAGACACGGCAAGTGCCGTCCACAATACTCCAGACCAAATCCTTATAGTAGGGTGAGCAGCGAAATGCCAGCTCGCATTTTCTAGGGCAAACGCGGGTTTGGGCCGAGCCCAGGCAGAAAAAAATGCCGAACAGTGCGATTGTTAGCGACAGTTTATACATGCTGCAGGTGAGAAACTAAAAGTTGGCATCATTCGAATCGCTCATTTATACCGATTCAATTTTTTTTTTTTTTTTTTTTTTATCAATTGCTTTGTTTGACTAATAACAAAAGCCACAATATGTGCTTAATATTTAATATGTGTATTATTTTTCACTTGTACAAATGCATACCTACACGTACGTCTAAAAAAGCTTATTGGCTGAGTAAATAAGCAACTTTACTTACTTATTATACACGAAGCTAATATATTAATATTAATATAATTTTTTTATTGTTTTGCATTAAATGTATGTCAAAGAAGCTGGCAGAAGGCAATTTAAACCAACGTCAAGCCGAAAACATTCAAAATTTTTGTAATTTTGTATATTTATAACAAAAGGTAAAGGTAAAGGTATACCTAATATACGCGCAATTTCGGATTTGAGCAAATAATCTTTAAGCTATAAAGTGTCAGATATGTGTTTAAGCTTGTTTTCAAAAATTGAAAACAATTACCGCCTGGCAATTTGGCAACATATGCATTTTAATAACTTTTAAAGTACAAAAGCGACAGATGAATAAACAAAGATGCTGAAATGAAAAGGTTAATAAGAGTTACAAAGGGTCTTATGAATTCAATTATGAATAATTTGGCATGCAATTTTAATTAACCACGTGTTATTTTAATTGTCAAAACACCAGGCTCCTGGCTGCGAGTGAGGCAACAGATCAGTTTACTGGTGGAGCCAGTTATGCGCCGGCTTGGGTTCAATTGGCCACTTGTTGCAGGCAGCGTCAAGCCATAAAAACAAAAAATATCTACTTTGAACGCTGGGCGCTTTTTGAAAGTCATCTCGTTGGAATTGTTGTTGTTGTTTTGCTATGCTACCTGTTGAAGGTATTTTGCTTATTTAGAAAGTACAATTTTTCTTTTTCGGCTTTAATTGAGTATGATGCTTGAAACCGCTGCGATATCGACCAACATTTGACGCCTTTGACTGCGGTAATCATTCTCCTCTCCATCAGCCAGGTGACATGTGCGGATATTAAAGCAAACGCCCACCCAACGCCTTCTCGATACTGCCCACCAGTCAGTCCGCTGGATCGTGGGATCGCAATTAATTCAGATGTTCGGCAAGTGAAGGGTACTTGTTTATTATAAGGGTTAACTAGATTATTGAACACTTTATTTGTAAACCTTAAGACACTTTGAAATTTATTTATTATTGCTTGCGCTTCGGCCTATGCACAACGGCTACTCTCACGAGATGTCCTGTTTTCTTATTCATGATTAGAAAAACTTTTTTGTGCTTTTTCTTTATCTTTTCCGGTTTTGCTAAATGCGTCATATTTTTCCCTAATTTGGTCGCACTCATCGTTTTTGCCGGAATGTTTTCACTTGTTTTCAATATTAACAGGTTCCCAGTTCCTGGGAATGCCGCTGGAAGAATTGCTTTTCCTGATGCTGTTGACGGCCTCAAGTGCGGCCAATTGATAGTATCGGGATGATAATGAACTAGAATGCCTGACTTTTGCATAGACACATGCTCTTTAACATATTGACTGCTGGACAGCTTGATGAGCAGATAAGCGATCCACACCCACATGCTGAACATAGCCAACGCGTTGAACTGAACGCTTGTCGACCTATTGCCAGACCTCAAGATTTCAATTAATAGCTTTGTAACGAATCGATTCGTGGCATGAAATGAATTATATAAATTGAAAATCAAATTGTTAATACTGGCTGCATGTAAGCTGGTAGCACGCCTAGGTCGAGATCATTTAAGGCAGCCCATGATTTATGATCGGAATATAACGCGAGTCATTGAGAAGACGCTGGCTTAAGGGTCACGTTGTAATAATTATCTGGTTAACTGGGTGTAAAAGTACCTGGAAATGAATGTTCAAAGAAATCATTGTCTATGTGCTTAGCTGATTACTGTGATTTAGCCATACGCAAATTGGGATTCACTTTTTGAGATATTTTTCTCACATCTGTTTTTGACTCGATTGTTTTGTTGATTTTGTCAAGAACTTCTCCGAGAGAAAACCAGTTCCCACTGTCTAACAGCCGCTATATAAGCCTGGCTTTTTCAACGAAATCAGCTAGTCTCTAAAAACTTTCCATCAGAATGAAGTTTTGCTTTGCACTAATCAATTTGCTGCTCTGCTGTGGCCTTATAATGGCCGCTGACCGCTGTCCCACCATTTGTCCAGCGATTTATAAGCCTGTCTGTGGAGAAGCTCTAGTGGGTGGTCAACGAGTGCGTTGCCAGTTCTCCAACAGCTGTGCGATGGCTGGCAATAGCTGCACCAAAGGAATAAGTAAGTTGATTGGGCAACATCTCCGATGCTAAATATATCCGGATATACCAAGCTATATACTCCTGACATTGAAAAACTTTACATCGTGTCATATAAAGAGTTCTACCTGGCTGAACGAGAACAATTAAATCGCTAATGTGTATCCTCAAACGGTTTTAGAGACAACAAGTACTTGCTGATAATTTTCCTTAAATATCCACACTCGTTAAATTCGCAAAGAATGATATTCGTGCAGTCAAAGTTTGAAGGTGACTGCCATGGGCTTGCAGTCTTAAAGCCACTGCGCACATAGCTCGTAGCTGATGTTACAATGTAAACACAGATTGAGCAAACTTTTTCAACCGAATTTATTATTATTAATTGATCTTTCATTAATTATTTATTTATGTGAATTTTCCTTTACAGATTGGCGCGAAACTCCGAATTGCAACGGGCTTTCAGGACGTTGTAGCAGCCTTTTAAGCTAAGCACAACTCACAATCTATGAATAAATTGTTGCACTTTATTAAAAATAAACTATTCTATTTCTGAAATTATTCAGTTTTTCAAAAAGGTATCAATTTTTAGCATTATATTTTGAGACATGGCTTAGAACCAAAAACTTAATAAATCAAGTTTATTTACACTTTTTCAATTTCTAAATTGAAATATTATTTGTATTATGTTATATTTAATGCATTTATTAAAGTTCTTATTCGCCGTACTTAGAATTGTCTAGAATTGTTACAACAAAAATATCTAAATGAAAAGAATAAATTTATTGGTTCAATACATGAAGGACACATTCGGTTTGGCGTTTTTCTAAGTAAAGAATTAAAACAATTACAGTTCTGGGATCGCAACGGTTTGGTTGGAGTCCGGGTTTCAGCTATTGTTTTCATATAACTGTAGTATTATGCAGAGCTATATCAACATATACACCTGTATCTCAATTTGTATGCTACAATATAGCAATGCTTGATAAAATCTTGCTAAATATATAAAATTAGCTTGCTAGATCTTATGTAAATCAAAGTCAATCACATTATTTTACGCAGTTTTTAATAGCCAACAAAAATAAATGTATATTTTAAAGTTTGAGCACACATTTTGTTGGGATTTATGGGCCAATTACAATCAACAGCTGTTGTTACAACTAACAACACCTACACTAAGTGTTCCAGAAAAACTATCCCAGTAAGCTCAGTTCTCTGTTAAGCTGCAACCGAGATGCCGCAAACGTGGTTACTAGTTCTTTGCGAACTTTTGATATTCTTATATACATTCGCCAAGGCGCGTATGCTCCGAGTTCCATTGGAGGTTCAGAGAAAGCCGGCAAGTCAGTTGTCCCAAAGTTTTCTTGCTACCCAGTCGCTGCAGCTGATGCTAGACAATAGGGACAATGTGGAGTATTATGGGCGCATTGCCATGGGTACGCCGCCACAATTGTTCAGGGTAATTTTTGATACAGGCTCGGCCAACACGTGGCTGCCCTCCAGCAACTGCCCAGATAGCAATATAGCCTGTCAGCAGCACAGCCGGTATAAGGCACACAAGTCGAAGAGCTATGTGAAAAATGGTCGCAACTTCTCGCTGGCCTATGGCAATGGCCATGTAAGCGGCTACCTGTCGCAGGACACGTTACGAATAGCTGATGTAGTTGTGCCCGACCTGATCTTTGGAGAGACCTTGTCGCATCATCAGGCTACCTTCATCCCAACGAGCTTTGACGGCATTGTTGGACTGGGTTTCAGACAAATAGCCTGGAAAAACTCGACTCCATTCCTGGAGCTGTTCTGCCAGCAGCATCTGGTCAAGCGATGCCTGTTCTCCGTCTATCTACGACGCATGGCCGGCGAGCTGTATGGCGGTGAGATCACATTTGGGGGCATTGATCACTCCCGCTACAAGGGCGCACTGGACTATGTGCCACTGTCCAAGGTAGGTTACTGGCAGTTTGTGATGTCCGGCGTTTCTGTGGGCAACAAGAAAATCGATGGCAGAGTCAACGCAATTCTGGACACAGGCACATCACTGGTGCTAATGCCGCGCCGCATCTTCGAGCAGTTACAACAGGCCATTGGGGCTACGATTAAGAACAAAACCTATATCGTTAGCTGCCATTGGGACTATCTGCAAGATGTTCAGTTCCACATTGGAGACAGGAAGTATGCACTTACTGCAGCAGATTATGTGGTTAGTCTAGAAACGGCAAACGAAACGATCTGTGCGAGTGGCTTTGTGCCAATTGAGTCCGACTTTTGGGTGCTGGGCGATATATTCCTGACGCGCGTCTATAGTGTTTACGATGTGGAAGCCGAACGCATTGGATTTGCCGAAGCAGTCCAAGATGAGGACTAGCCAAAAACGTGATCATAACGTATTATAATAGAAGAATTATTGTATGATTGCTTAATAGAATATTTATAATTTAATAGCAAACATTTAATTAATGCTTTATATAATATAAAAATTTCATAATGATCCATAATAATATATTAATAGCAAATAATAATTAACTTTTAGCTGGGGATTTACCTGTTCGCGGGCAAAACTGTAAATCTAGTATGTTAGAATCTATAAATGACATAATAATGGTTTGAAGTTTACCTCATAGTGTTTATATTTGCTCTATAATTAATAAGTAAATGAGGCAAACCTGGTGAGCTTGAGCAGAGCGCTCGATAATCCCCGTGTGTTGCGTTTTTTGAGAGAACGAAACCTGTTTATTTAATCAGCTGATAAGGTGCCTCAGCTCGACCCACCCATTGCCTAAACCTATTCACAAAGACATAAACAAAAATATTTACATACACACAGTAGCTAAAGCTGCTCCCAGCGTGGGCACGTTTTGAGAATATGCTATATAAGCTCATCATATAGAGCACCGCGGCAACAGTTGACGTTTCGCCGCTGATCTAATATTTAAAATGAAATTGATTTGGGTTATATCAATTTTGTTTGCTCTGGCCTTAAGCCACGTCAATGCTAATTGTTCGGCTGATTGTCCCGAAACTGAGGATGTTGTGTGGGCACTCGGCGGCGGCTGTAGTGTCTTCCGTAATAAGTGTTTCTTTGACAAGGAGAACTGCTATCGCAAGCCACGTGAGTTAAAGACTAATTTAGCTTAAAAAATAAACAAATTTAGCATGATCTGTTTCTGTTCACTTGCAGCTCTGACTATTACCACCAAGGAGGAGTGCCAAAAGTTGTGCCCCGATATTTGCCCACAGATATATCAACCGGTCTCAGGCACTTACAATGGCCAAGTAAGAAACTTTGGAAATGCATGCGAAAAGATTGTACACAGCTGCAAAACTGGCGAGAGTAAGTATAAACATCTTTTATATGCAAAATATTTGCTAAAAATCACTATTTTCAGCATTCTTGGACTAAGCAATGACACCCGACATTTTAATTAACAGCTTGTAATAATAAATAAAAATATATGCACATTTTGACATAAAACATTCATAAGCCAATGATTATAATTGAATTCAATCAAATGTGAATCTCTTACCTAGTATTATTTGATTAAATATTAAGTGAGGGCAGGTAAGGTGACAATTTAGAATCTCACGGATGTGAAATTTTTTATTTGTATGTATAGTAAATGTGAAAATCATTTGGATTTAGACTATTATTTATGATTATTATTTTCTCTTGTCATTATCATTATTTTTTATTATTATTATTATTATTATTATTATTATTATTTTTATTATTAATTTTGTTAGTAGAGTAGAAAATAATAGGAAACTAGAAACCTGATGAAGATTAGTAAATACCATGAAATTGAAGTCTTAAAGTCTTCTCTGCTTACTCACAAAACAACAAGTATATGGGTTTTTATATAGGGTGCACTTTTTGTTAATCTAGCCCCTATTTGTTTTTATGTGTGCAAGAGCATTTGTAACAATGCAATTAAACCTGTTTAATAACTGAAAGGGTCACGTTTCTACGTCGCAACTAATGCACTGATAAGAACAATTTAGTAATTAAAACGAATTGCATTCTTTCAATTGTGAAGTGGGCATAAATATAGCGTGATGTGTTTGTTTTTCTGATAACTTCAATTTTTTTAAATTGGTTACAGGAGTTATTCACCACAGCTCAAGGCAACCACAGGAGTCATATAGGATATAATTACCTGCAGAAATAGTTCGTAATTATAATTTATTTTCATAGAAATGTCGAAAGTATTTATTAATTTAAAAAATAAGAAATGTTCCAATAATACACAAATGTTTAACAATATTTAATAATCGCACATGCCGTAAGTCAATCCCATTTCGGCTTGCAATAAATTCTTGACCACAGCATGAAACTTGTTTAGTAACTGGAAGAGGCACGTTCCTACGTTTGCCGGGCACTATACATACATTTATAATATATATAATAATTTGTGCACTTCTGATGAGGTAACTTTTATGTGAATAGCAAAATACCCACAAGACAGTAGTTATCGTGGGACCCACTTACGTTGTGCTGAACTTGTGCATAATTTACGAGCTCTTCAAAATAAACTTAACAAACAAATCATAGTCTAAAATTCGTTTTATTTGCGAAGTAGGCATTGGTCTGTGAAACTAAAAAGGTGCGTTTTGTTATTTGTCTGGCCCTGAGCCAAATCATTTCCGATTGCCCAGCATATTGTGCGGCACTGGACGTCTTATATTTTGTTTACTCACATTGAGTCGCCTTTTAAGAGAAATAAAAACATGCTTTAATTTTAAGCCAAAGAAGAATTTCAGCTAGTGGGATACATATTTTAATATATAATTCACACTTAGTTTAAGCGTACATATTTTTACAACTCGGTTGCATAGTCAGAGTTAAACTGAGATAGCGTTTAATTATAGTTTTAATACATTTTTATATAGAAATAATAGCTCTTAATTAACAATTGAAATTTATATTTTTACGATTAAAAATAATAGAATTGTTGACTGGGACGACTAATAAAGACAATATAAATTATATAAACAAACAAATAGCTTAATTATCTCAGGTCTAGCGAAAATCACACGAAGTGGCAGAGCTCTGACGTCACGTCGTGCAAAAACATATAAAAGCGAGTTGACTTCTGCTTGAATAGACAAGTTAGGAAACTACCTGCAGATGAATGAGATGCCGATGCCCAGCAGAAATATACTCGTGCTAGCAAGTGCATTAGCTATTCTTCTGACCAAATTGGAGCAAGGTCAGGCGCGTCATAGCCTATTCGACTGTAACGTGCAGTACAAATGCTCGGATGAAAAGGAATATGTCTGGGCAACCGACGAAGAGCGTTGCCATGTCTTTCACAATAGATGTCTGCTAAAGGTGGAACAATGTGCGCGGGTCAGCCAAGGCAAGTCGGAGCTGATTGAAACCGATAAGGAGATCTGCAAGCAGAGTTGCGTCAAGGCGTGCAAAAGAAATTTTGAGCCAGTCTGTGCACAGTTCTTCCAGGAGGAATATCTGACCTTTAGCAATGAGTGCGAGATGCGGAACTATATGTGTACCAAGGAAAGGGGTGAGTAATTGTGAATATTTGATATCATTGAAAGCATTACGAATAGTTTATGTTATTTTCTTGACAGCTTACTCGTTTTATGCATTGGGCGAATGTGTTGAGTCTCCTTCATCGATAAGTTAAACATCTGGAACTACCTTTTCATTGACTAAAATTTAACAAAATTGGACATACAACATATAAGTATGGGCTTCAATGTCATTGCATAAAGATAATAAAGATTTACCGCTGTATAATCGGAATTCCATATCAAATGCGATTATATCAGCGAGGCTCTGAAAGCCAATGACCTGCATTTACCCACTTAAAACTGACGCACGTTGTTTTTAGTTACTATCTAAAATCTCGTTACACTTGACGCGTGCTGTAAAGTTCAAGTTCGAGCTCGAGGTCTGAAAGATCATTCACCGACATTGTGTTATTTCTCACCAAAAACTGGAGCAAATCAAGAGTGTGCAAAACTTTTCCAAAAGTGGTTGCTATATTAATCAAGATCTTAATTTTGTCATATAGCTAACTGTTTTATGGAGCTTGATCAGTTTTGTGGAGTGGGACTATAAAAGGGCAAAGATGTCCTAAGGAAAACATCAGTTGTCAACAAGCAACAATTAGGCCACATACACAAATAGCTTTGGTTAAAAAAACACACAATGGCTGCTACCCTCGTTATTATTTTGAGTTGTCTCGCATACAGCTTTGTAGACTCTTCTCCGTCGTCCTCCTACTCGTCGTCAGTTGGTGGACGTCCAGCGGTACAAGGTGCTTACGTTTCAGGGCCAATTTTAACCCGACCAGCCGTGCCTGGACCTGTTGTGTCTGGACCATCTCCATCTTATTTGCCACCAGGTCCTGCTGTTTCTGCACCTGTTGTCACTGCACCAACTGTACCCGTTGTACCTGGAGTTCCATATAGTGTGGGTGGTAAACGGCCATTTTCTTATCGCCCTGCAGCCTATGGACCTGTTGTCGCTGCGCCATCTGTACAGCGACCAGCCGTAATTGGAGCACCTTCAATTGTGGGTGGTGTGCGCCCAGCTGTCCATGGCGCTGTTGTTCCTGTACCAGCTACCCAGCTACCAGTGCCAGTACCACAAAGACCACACTTCGCTGGAGCTGTCCCACGACCGATCCCAGCAGCCGGAGCTGTGTCAAGCGGCCCAATCTTCTCTGGACGTCCTCGAAGTGGCTACGGCTCGCGCACTGTCGGCTCCAAGGCTCCATACTAACTGAGGAGCATGACTTCATGATTGACATTTTAAGGCCCGAACTTTTTGAACCTATTTTTTGAACATATGCATAAAATTACCAATGCAATTTAAAACAAATAAATAATGCAAACAAATAATTAAACAGCTCTTATGAGTGTTTTATTTGGAAATGCCCGAAGAGCATTTGAACTAATCTGTATATATATATACCGAAAACAACACATATACCCTTATATACCCAAAACCTCACACACTTTTCATTCCGCACTTTATTTAGGGACTATGCTTATTCTTTTCCCAGCGACACACTTCCTTATCCTTAATTATAAGCATGTGGAGCGGTATCAAAAAAGTAAAAGAATCTTAATCGGTATATAGGAAAGTTTACATACCACGTGTTGTCTGTATAGCTCGTTAATTCTTCGAGGCATGCTTAAAACCCATTTCCCAAAATCAATATTTATGAATATTATGAGAGGGGGTGAAAAAATATGGTCGATATGGGAATATATATCGCAAATTTTAAATCATTAACTTTCGCAGTGTCCCGGATTGCTTCATTCATACAGACGAGCGGAACGGATAGATTGAGTCGACTTGTTTGTCTGATCAATCCTGTATCTATTTTATGACACACATTCTTTCTTTGTTGTTTCTGTGCATACACGCATTGTGCATACAATATACATTTACATATATTTTACACAAA